AGAGGACAGCCCTGCTCTAGCAGAACAGGAGGTTGGGGGAAGCGCAGATAAACCATGTGAGGGTACACGGGGGACCTCGTCTCACTGCAGTGGGGACAGGAGGAGTACTGTGGTGGCCCAGGGCTGGATCGTACGTACAGGCTTTCTTTCTCTTTCACACCTTCTGTTTAACTTTTCTTTCTTTATTTTTAGTTTAGGTTTTTGCCATAGGGTGCATGCACTTGGCAGACAGGGAAAATGAGAAATCACTCCCGGGGGGATGGCCACACTGCAATCCCTTTCCTTCCATTCCCCTCTCTGCATTTTGGACATGTACCTGGAGTGAGTTTCAAGCTGCTGGGTCCAGGACTTGAACCACCATAGACCATGTGGGAACCCAGAGCCTTCACCACCACACCACCTGCTGGTCCACTTTTTTTTTTTTTTTTTTAAGTCTTAAGGAGGTTTACTCTTCCCTGGGGATCTTTTGGGACCAAAGGGAAGCCTGGTTATTTTGGCTGCCTTAGGGTCAGCTGCGGACAGGCAGATGAAGGGGAGGTGACGCCCAGCATGGCACACCTTGGAGTGAAGATGTGGGAGCAGGGACAGAGCTCATTTGCAAGCAGTGTGGTGTGGAATAGAGCACCCCTCCCCCTCCATCCCTCCAGCTGTCACATTCAGCTAGTAGCTCTTGTCTGGGTGCCAGGAGGGAACTGCAAGGGACGCAGCTGGGAGGAGAGCGAAGGGGGGCCAATGGGGTCATTTACACTCATTGGTGGGGCCCAGCCAGCCTTACTCACATCCTCTTTCGAAGTGGGGAGCTTGGTTCCATTCCTGATGGGTTGCAGCCTCCCCTCTGGGAAAGCCAGGCTGGCCAGGACCAAGGGGAAGCAGGGGCTCTGTATTCCTTTGGGACCCTGGCTCCCTGGCTGAAGTGGGTAGGCTGGTGTCGGGGCCTCTGGATAAGTCTGAGATAGAGTGAGGCATTAGGGTTTACAGTCTGGACCTAGGATCTGGAGGTTTGCAGTCAAAGAGGATGTGTGGTCTCCTTTCCCACACCAATGCCTGGAGCTTCCTCAGACAGGAAATGCTCCGGCTTCAGATTAGACCAGGAAGCTTTGAAAACTACACTTCCCAGCATGCAGTGCAGCCGGCCGCAGGGAGCGTGGGAAGGCCTGGGGTCAGGCTGTAGGAAGCCTGGTCTCCCTGCAGCTGCAGCAGCTGTGCAAGGCATTGTGTCAGGCTATGGGCGGGGCCTCAGCAAGCTGAGGTACAGAACCCTCCCAAATGCAGGGACACAGCTGTGTTCTCGGACTCCCCGACACACTGCCGTCTGCACAGCCGGGCTCCCATGTGCAGACTCGGTGTGTAGGCAGTTGCTCACCTGCTCACACTGGCTGATTTTACACAGTCACAGAGGCACGTACCCATACTCCTGTGGGCACACACACTTGCAGGTTCACACCCTCTTCAGACAGATACAGGCTTCGAAGGCCCACCACCATGGTCTGAAGAACTTCTGGCCCGATGGGCAGACCCTATTACCCTCGCTCCCAATGGATGAGTCCAGGCTTCACTGAAAAGGGGGATCAGACAGACATCTACACCCCTGTGGCCTCCGTGTCCTGCTCTTGGAAGTGAGCGGCGGAGGTTGGGTCGAGGACCGAGGACTGATCACTCTGCTGACACCCCCAAGGACAGATGCTGCCTCAGTCTCTAGTCTGGTCAAGGCCACACCCGAGGCCCCCTTCCCAACTTTAGGATTACCCTGAGAACGGATGGGACCGCCTCTGGAATTCTGTGACGACTGGGCCAGCCCTGTGAAACTGCATCTCAGTTAAGGGCCTCTGAAATGGACTTGTCCCAGGGCGGATATTTCAGACTGGGCCCCACTGAAATATCCGGACTGCTGGGCTCATCTTGGCTCCCTCACCTGTGGGCCTGCTGTTCCCCATCAGCGAATGGGCCCCTGGGACAGTCCCCACCTGGGTCCTGGAGCCATCCATGAAGGCTCTGGCTAATGCTTCCCCACACTGCTTCCCTGCTGACCACCCTCCAGAGGCTGCAGTGGCAGACAGTGGGAAGCGGCTTGTCCTATCCCTGTGTGGCTGGGCCAGCCGTTTCCATGTGCTCCTCCTGCCCAGGGCGCCCCAACCCACGCTGCCCATGCACTCGTCTTGCAGGGAACACGCAGTGCCATCCATCTCCTGTGGAACCTAGGGCCCTGAGAGGCCTGGGCCAAAGCATGCCTGCACAGGTGTGCGGCAGCCTAGTATGGGGGTGTCCCGCAGTGCATGCACCTCTTTGGTACATGCCCTCCTCCTGCCCCAGACAGCTTTCCTCATCTCCCTCTCCAGATGTGCCCAGGGCAAAGCTATTACCCGAACGGATGGCCAGGATGAAAAATTAAATTTCCACTTATCCTTCTCACTCATGCATTCCCTCCAGACCTGTCCCTGGGCTGAGAGGGTGGGACGGCTATGCCCGCGGGGTGGCCCCCAGTGAGCGGGGTGGGCATGGCTGATGTGAGATGAAGGATGGCGAGGTTGGCTGCTGCTTGAAAGTGACCCAAGGGCATAGGGCAAGGAGGCCACCTGGTGGAGTCCCCCAAGGGGGCTGAGACACTCCCGAGGGAGGGCCAGCTAAGCAGCCACTGGGCCCATCAGCGATCAGTGACCACCATGCTTCCCTGGCTCCTGCCTCATGGGCTGTCAACACAGAGTCAGGCTGTGGGTCTCTCTCTTCCAGAAGCCTGGGGCCCAGCCCACCTGCCCTGCAGCCCACCATTGGGAGAAGGGGGTCTGCATGATCCTAAGGCACCGGAGATAAGGTCCCCCCTATTTCAGATGGAGAAGCTGAGGCTCAAAGAGGAGAAAGACTCACTCGAGGCCACACAGCTAGGAAGAGTCGGTGCTGCAAGCACGCTTGGGTCCAGCTGTGCCACCCCTTGTGTGCCACTGCCTCCATGACAGTGGTCACCCTCCCTGAGACATTCTTCATGGAATGTGAGCCTGCTTTTCCCACCACGCCTCATCTGCCCCAGCCCAGGACCAGAGCCTGAGTACCTAGGAGGCTCTTACTGAGATCTGCTCGAACTTTTTCCAGGAGGGAAGGAGGGGGGTGACACTGGCTCCCCTTTCTTCTTGCTAGCCTGTGGGAACCCCCAAATCCTAGCTTGGGAGAGGGATGCCTCACCACCTGCAGGTCTCAAACCTGACTCTTCTACCTCCATAACCAGCCCAAGATCCAAGGGCGGGGAGTGGAAGAAAACAGGGTGCCTCTTGCCCCAGGTGAGAGAGATGACAGGAGGGCTGCGAGGACAGGCAGCTCCCGTCCCTGGACAGCTCTGGCTGCTGGTTGGCAGCTGTGCCCGGATGCCCCCACATGTGCGCTCACTTTAGGGACACAGGCTGGGGGCTCACGAAGGCTGTGCCTGGAGCCCAATCAGCACTACCCATTTCCTGTATCCCAAGGTTACTTCTGGCCCACAGCGCCACAGTGCTTCCTGCTCGGGGAGGTTCTTTCTCATCCTGCAATTAGCCCCGGCACCTTTAAAGACGCTCCTTCATGAAGGAGAGGTGGCGTCGAACCCCTCTATCCACTTGTTTGGAGGGTTCCATTAATGATGATGATGATGATAATGACGGAGGTCACGACGGTAATGATACAGCACTGGCCACTTACTGGCTGACCCGTGCCAGCAACCCGACCTGCATTATGTGTCAGTCAGACAACGACCCTTCCAGGCAGGTCACCTTCTCCCCCACTTACAGATGAAGGCTCATTCAGGGTCCCAGCTGTCTGACACCAAGCCCACACTCCTTGAGTCCCTGTGGCATCCCTCCCTGGAATATCCTAGCTCTTTTTCTTGTTCTCTCTTTGTCCTGGCAGGCTGGTGACCGAGCCACCTCATCTGTGTTGACAGCGAGAAAGATGCGGAGGATACGGCAGCTCAGGTCAGGGCGCACCACGGCTTGGGGCTACACCCCTGCTTTCTCTCCCGTCTCCCTGCTTTGGTAAGCATCGCCCTCCAGGCCTTGCAGGTTTCAGCTGCAGACGCAGAGCTTGGCGTTGAGCTCCCTCTGCAAGCTCACCCCCACCAACCTGGCTCCCAGGTGTGCTCTGCAGGCAGATCCAAGGGCAGGCGCTACCCCTCCACCCCTAAATGGCCTCTCTGTGAACAGCACTCCCCTCCTCCCTCCTGCCCCTCTCTCACAGGAGTCACCTGTCTCAGCCCTAAATGAAGGGAAGAGAAAAGCGAAGCAAGCCCAACGGCCAGAGCTCGGGGAAGAACCAGAGAAGCAGCAGGAGGCACAAACATCCCGCCAACGACGCAGCCTGACTGTGGGGTGTAGGTGGGGAGCACTCACAGGTGGGGAGAGGCGGGGAGGTCATGCTTCCTACCTGTGATGTTGACCTCCACCTGGCCCGAGCGGGTGCCGATGGGGTTTGTGGCCTCACAGACATAGGTCCCAGCCAGGCTGTAGTTGATGGGTCCCCTGAAGAAGAGGGTTCTGTTCTGGGCCTCCACGCCCTTGGGGAGAGAGCCATTCAGCCTGCAGGAATCGGAGACACACATGGGGTTATGACTCTCTGGCCCCAACAGGGTACCTCTGGGCCTTGCACTCCCCAGCCCTTTGCTGAGTTTATGGGGTAGGGTCTGCCTTGGAAGGAAGAAATCCAATACTAATCATAATCTCTTGCATTTGACCGTTTTATATTCAACTTTCCATATTGATCATCATAATGAATGCCTTTAAAAAAATAATAAATTGTGGGGCTCACAGATGGCATGGTGGTTAGGGCGCTGGACTCCCACATGACCAATTGTGGTTAGAGTCCTGGACCTGCCAGCTTGCTTTCTCACTTTCTCTCTCTCTGTCTCTCTCCGGTCAAATTTTAAAAAATAAATAAATTAAATTAAATAAATAATTATTTAAAAAAATTGCTTTAGGAAGTGTGTGCTTGCCAGAGATAGAGAGAGAGAAAGTGAGAAAGCACCCCCACTGAGTCCAGGATTTGAACTGTATAGTAGACCATGTGGGATCCAGCCGCCTTAACCACCATGCCACCTGGCTGGCCCATAAACATCTTTTGAATGCAGGCAGGACAGGTAGGTACTGGTCTCACTTAACAGATGAGATCTGAGGTTCCAGGCCAAGGAAGCACAGCCAGTAAGCAGAGGGTAAGCGCTCTAGCGACTCCTGGACTCCGGGGGAGGGCTCTTCCTCTGCTTATGGTTCTGGCTGCTGGCTCTCGGTCTCCCAGGCAGCTAGTTAATGGTACAGAGTGCCTGAAGCAAAGCCCCCGGGCGAGGGCCTGGGACTCTGGATTTTCATACGCTCCTCCAGGCAGGAGAAAGAGCTGCCATGTTCTGGTTTGCACTCTCCTGTCCTTGCTGGGTGGGTTGGGTCATGGCACCATTCTACGGGGAATGTTCTGGGAGTTGGTAGAGGATGGGGCCTCCTTCCTTCCTCCTGATCCAGGATGCCACAAAGCTATTGTTTTGTGCAGCCAGCAGTTCCTCAGTCTATGGAGCTGAAATGAGTAAACAGCCCCTGCCCACTAGCACCTGCAGAAGCACTTTTTTGGGGAAGATTTTTATTATAGAGTATGTGTGCTCAGCGGATAAAGAGAGAGAGAGAAGGTGAGAAATCACCCCCTGGGGGGATGGCCATGTCACAGTCCTGTCTCCATTCTCCTCTTGGGATTTTGGGCATGCATGTATATGTACACGGTGAGTTTCAAGCTGCTGAGTCTGGGACTCGAACCACAGTTGGCCATGTGGGAATCCAGCGCCTTAACCACTGTGCCACCTGCTGGTCCCTTCCTAAAGACTTTTGTTCCAGAAATAGAGGATCATGGATGAGCAGGATAGTACTCTCTACTTTCTGGAAAAGGGTATACAGACTCATCTGGGTGGCCATTCCTGGGCTTCCCAGGTCAGCCTTCTTCCAGGCTTCCTCTAGGTCCTGGTCTTCTGAGTTTTTTCACTCAGCTCCTCTCTGGGGAAGAGAGCTAGCTGGTGGGGAGCCAGGCCTCTCAGAAGGCCAGGTCCAAAGACTGTGAGGTCAAGAATGGGACAATGGGGGCCAGCAGGTGGCATGGTGCTTGAGGTGCTAGATTCCCACATGGCTGACCGTAGTTCAAATCCCAGACCTGGCAGCTTACTTTTTCACACCCACCCCCCTGCCCCATCTCTCTCTGGTGAACATACACACCCTGTAGCAAATTAAATAAATAATGATACATAACATTAAATAAATAGTTTTAGAAAGAATGGGATGACGGGATGTGGGAAGGCACGCTGGAGTGAGGTGTCTGGACTGATTGCTACCCCCTCCCCGAGAATCTAAGTATGTCGGAGGGAAGGAATAGGAACAAGGACAGATCTGGGTGCTTCAGACACCAGCTTCCCTGGGGACACCTCGATAAAAATAAACACTGGGGGCTGGAGTGGGAGTGAATCAGGCTGAATCACCAGAGAAAACATGACAGAATTCTTCATTAGGGAGAAGATGGGAAGCCCCCCCACCTCAGGAATGGTTCTCCTGCCCCTCTTGGCCCCCACGACCCAGCAGAGATCTCCATGGCAACCCGCAACCCACGGGCGGCAGCACTTACGTGGTCCAGTGGTACTCGGTGGCCGGGGGGTTGGCATCGGCCTTGCACGTGAGCTTCACGTCCATCCGCTGCAGGTACCAGTTACCGTCGAACCCCTCGATGGTCACCTCGGGCTCATCTGTGGGGCAAGTGAGGAGGTTTGAAGACGGCAAGTTCAGAGTGAGGGCTCAGGGCCAGGGCGCCTCGGACAAGGAGGGGAGCGGGGAGAGTGCAGAGCTGTGAGCCTTGCAGTAGGCAAGGGGACCAGGAAGGAGAAGAGGAAGATGGGGCCGCAGGAGGAGACGGGAAGGGCTGAGCACTCCAGGAAGAGAAAGGGAGGAGGTAGGAGGAGGGCTGGGAGAAGTGAGGGAAGAGGAGTGACGGGGCGTGACAGGCAGAGGAGGGGAGTGGAGGTGGGGGCGGCACCCCAGCCCAGGCTGCCCACCCGGCTCTCGGCCCTGCTCACACTGCACGTTGAGGGTGAGGCTCTCCTTGAAGCGGTCCATGTGGTAGTTGACGATGCAGGCCAGGGACTGCCGGTGGGCTTCCCGGCTGGGCACCAGGCGGTACCGGCTGATGACCGTCATCGTGCCGTTGGGGTTCCGGATCTCCTGGTACTCTGCCTCGCCCTTCAGCCGTGTTTCCCAGGATACCACACTGGGGGGCTTCCCGTTGGCTGAGGTGCAGGTGGCCACCAGGACCTTGTCGTCCTGCCCCTTCTTGGCTCGAAGCACTGCCTGGGTGCCCTCTATCCAGTTGGTGGGTTTGGCTGTGGGGAACCAGAGAGTGCCATGGACCTAGGGCCAGGCACCTGCCAGGCCTCACCTTTGGCTTACCTGGCTGTCCTGCCCCTTTGCTATGCTGCACCAAACCCCTCCCAGCTTCTTGCAGAAAGTTCTTCCCGGCTACCTGTGGCCCCTCCCCTACTACTTATGACCCCTGTGCCAGCTCAGGCCTCCCTGCAGCCCTGGCACATCTAAGCCGGCTGCTCAGGTCCAGCTCTGTTTCTTGTGTGTCTGCTGCCTCTGACTGTTTCCTGGCCACCCACGAGGGGTCCCACAGTGGGGCTTCCACTTGAACACGGGGCCTCAGCAATCTCCGGGGCCGAGGCCCCTGAACCCAGCCCCTAGTGAATTGTGGGACAGCCTGGTTAGAAGGGACTGGAAGCCCAGCTCCAGGGCCGTGCCCACCACGGAGGAGGCCTGAGGAGGGCTGCAGGCCCACTTACCCATCACAGTGAGGTTGAGCTGGCTCTCACGGTTGCCCGTAGGGAAGGTGGCAAACTCGCAGATGTAGACCCCTTCGTCCTCCAACTCCAGGCGGGACAGGCGGATGGTGCCATCGGTGAAGGAGGGCCGCAGGAACTCTACCCGCTCGCGGTAGGGCGCCAGCACTGAGACGCCCATGGCAGGGTTGTAGATGGCCACGTTCTGCTTGGAGCCGTTGGTGGCCTTCTGCCACGTGACCTGGGTGATCTTCACGCTGGGCAGTGGGTTGGCAAAGCTGCAGTGCAGCACCACGTCTGTGCCGATGAAGCCATACATGGAGTCGTTCACCTGGACCACCTGCGTGTGGGCACCTGGCCAAGGGAGGGCAGGACGCCGTCAGGGCGGGCGGGCACCACAACCAGCCGCGCCGTGTCCCCCCGCACTGGCCTTTCCTTTATGGTCGCCGGTAGCCTTTTCTTTCTGATTATTAAAATATAAACGACTAGTTCTAGGAGCACTCTGGGTAATCCTGGAACACCCAGGGAAGAAAACGATAACATCCGTGGTCCCACTGCTCAGAGATATTCCTGGTAATTTCGTGGGATCTATCTATATTTTTTATAAAGCGAATTTACTTTTATTTCTTTTATGAAAGGGAGAAAGAGAGAGACATGCAAGGGACAGATGGGACGGGGTCCCATCACACCACAGGGCCCCCCACCAGTCCTTCCAGCCGGCCAGGGTGACAGGTGTTGACACACCGCAGTGAGCCCAGGCTCAACCCTGGAGCCAAAGCTCTGGTTTGCCCCATGGTATCTGGCACTGAGGGGCAATATCCTGTCACCTGTGGCACCATGGCTGGGCCATCTTGTACTTCTCTGTGTAGCTACAAACCCTCTACTCCATACAGTGATACATCATTGCTCCGTGTGAGCGAACCAGAGGGACAGCTGCACCCTCATTTCTGATAGGGTCGAACGCACTGGCTCCAGCAAGAGCCCAGTCCAGGGGCATGAGCTGCTCTCTTCCTGGGCCTTGCACGCTCCCCTGGTAAATGGGGCGGATAACCCGCTATGCGCCCTCACAGCGTTGCTGGGCGCCGAGTGGCTTAATGGATGAGAGTGCATCAGGGAGGCAGGAGCTCGGGGTGAACATCAGCCCACAGCGGCCGTGGTTGCGTCTACTCCCACGGTCTTCTCACTGTGGACTGAGTCCTTGTCCCCTGGGGTGTGCTGGCTGGGCCTCTCTCTCTCTTTCTTTTTTTAAGGTTTTTGCCATTGGGCGTGTGAGACAGAGAGAGATAGTGAGAGGGAAAGTGAGACCTCACCTCCCCAGGAGAGAACGGCCACACAGCAATCCTTTCTCCTCCAGGGATTTTGGGCACAAGTGCATGCATGTCTGGCTGGAGTTTTAAGCCTAGTTGGGATCTGAACCATGACTGGCCATGTGGGAGTCCAGCCCCTTAGCTACCCTGCCACCTGCTGTTCCCACAGGCCCCTCTCTATTCTTCTTCTTTTTTTTTTTTTAATATTTATTTAATTCCATTTGTTATGATTATTTCTTAATTTGACCAGAGAGAGAGAAAGGGAAAGTGAGAAAGCAAGCCACTAGGTCCAGGACTCGAACTGCTGTTGGCCATGTGGGAATCCAGTGCCTCAACCACCATACCACCTGCAGGCCCCAGCCCCTCTTTTTAAAAAAGTACTTATTTACTTATTTTAGGTTTTTTGTCAGAGGGCGCATGTGCTCACCAGAGACAGAGAGAAGGAAAGTGAGAAATCGCCCCACAGAGGGGATAGCCATGCTGCAATCCCTTCTCCGTTCTCTTGGGATTTGAGGCATGCACGCACACACATGCCCGGTGATTTTCAAGCCACCAGGTCCAGAACTCAAAGCATGGTTGGCCATGTGGGAGTCCAGCTCCACAACTACCATGCCGCCTGCCAGGCCCTGGTGGGGCCTCTCAGACCAGCCAGGCAGGGGGACATAGGCGCCTGGACGTGGCCAGGCCTTCACTGGCTCCCATTGCTTTCGTAATCACATCTCGGTGCTTTAACTCGGCATTCGATCACCACCTGCCTTTTACCCTCGCCTCTCCCCAACCGTGTCTCTGAACACACCCGACTGGGCCATCCTCAGAACACGCTGCATTTCAGCGTTCCCCCCTCCCTCTGGCATCCACTCTGCCACTATTTGCAGTGACTGGGACCCAGGATTTATCATCACCACTTAGGTCTGTCCCCAGGGCCACAGAGCCAGCCATGCGGTTCCAGCCTCGCTCAGGCAGTGCCCTCCCCTCCACCCATGGAGGTTCCCGACCTCCCTAGCCAGAGCTAGCCCACCGCATCCAGCTTGGCCCTTCCCTGCCTCGGAATGCATGCACATCTGGCTTCTCCACCTGCCTGTGGACCTTCCAGGCCAGGGGCTGTCTTTCCCGTCTCTGAATTCCCCGTGCCCAGCCCAGCATCTGGCACACAGTAGGTGCCAGTACACATTTGTTGCCAGACAAATCGCAATCGAAGCCGAGGGAGTAGACTTCAAGGAGAAGGGAGTGATTAGCAGCACTGAATGAGCGAGTCAATTTCCTCCAGTCTCCCCCCCGCCCCCGTTCTTCCTGTCTGTCTGTCTGTCTCTCTCTCTCTCTTTAATTGTCAAGGAGAGGGAGAGGGAGAAAGCACCCCTCTAATGGTGCCATGACCCCTGCTCCTCCATCTCCCCCTCCTTTTAGGATTTTGGGCATACACATGCACCTGGTGTGTTTTTCTTTTTGTTTCTTCTTCTTTTTTTGGGGAAAGATTTTTGTTATAGGGTGTGTGCGCTTATCAAAGAGACAGAGAGAGACAAAGAGACAGAAAGCAAGAAGTCATTCTCCAGGGGGGATGGCCACGCTGCAACCCCTTCTCCTCCATTCTCCTCTTGGGATTTTGGGCATGCACGCACACGTGCCTGGTGTGAGTTTCAAGCCTCCAGGTCCATGACTCGAACCACAGACGACCATGTACGAATCCAGGATCCCAACCACCACATCACCTGCTGGCCCCTGGTGTGTTTTTAAAGCTGCCAAGTGCGGGACTCGAACCATGCTGTTAGCCATGTGGGACTTCATTCCCTTAATCACTAGGCCCTGCGGTCGGCCCCCACCAAATGTGTTATCCTGCCTATTGTAAAATATCTTGTTTGACACATCCTTTCCCGAGCTTGGCTCAGCCGCCTTCTCTGGGGGCCGCTGTCCCCGGCTCTGCTGTCAGCTCTCCCCTGCCCAAGCTAGCCCCACCCCACCAGCCCCCACGGTGGTGCTCCCCCTTTACTGGCTTACCTCCCTTAGCCAGCTTCCTGAGCACCATCAGCGATGCCAGGGATGGCGGGCCCTGTGCTGATCGGAGGCAGAGGGATGGCCCAAATGACCTCTCCAGAGACCCTGGGATCCAACAGTGGGGACTTGGGACTCCCTTCTTCTCTGCGCTAGAGCCATCTCCGAGCCTACGGTCAGCAAAGGAAGCTGTCCCCCTCATCCCTAGGAGCTCACAGGCCAGGCCTCCCAGGTCACTGCCATCTCTCTGGGGCCCAGCACTCAGTAGGTGCTCAGGTAGGGCTTGCGCTGAATAGGCCTGTCTCGGGCCCTCGCCATGCCCTGTAGGTCTCACTGGTGTTCTTTCTCCTTCTCTACACCTGCTCATCCACACGACCCTTCAGAGCCTGTCGGGGTGTCCCCACCCCATCCCTCTGGCTGTCTCCTGAGCCAGTCTGTGGGGCACTTTGGAGATGGTGCCAATCTGACATCTCCTGGCAGAGGCACTGTGGGTGGGTAGGTGGGTGTACCACGGGAGAGGCACCCACCCCGAATCAGAGCTGGCTCTCCCCTGCTTCTGCCCTGAGCCCGCCTGGCATGATGGCCCCCCAGAGCCCCACTTTCCTCCCATAAAGAAGCAGGCTGGCCTGTCCAGTCTCAATGGTCCCTCAGTCCCCACTGATGGCAGCACAGTCACCCCAGAAACAGTGCCTCGGTGAGGGCAAAGGGCCAGACAGCCCAGCACTCCTGCTGACTGGCCGACAGCTAACCGTCCCTGGTGGGATGATGGGGTACTCTCTGTCCCTCCCCCACCCCATTTGCCCAGCCTGCTGGAGGCTGCCCAGCGGCTGAGATAATGCGAGTGTAATTGGGGAACTTGCCCCACACTAAGCCAGGAACAGGAAAAGCCAGTCGGGAGAGCTTGGGCCACGGGTGAGAGTAGGGGGAGGGTGTGGGCACCAGGAGCCATCTCAGGACTGGTGCCAGGCATGGTGGGCCTGCAGGGACGCTGCCCGCCAAGCTCCTGAAGTGTCTCCTCTCACCCCCCCTCACAGGTAGGGGGCAGCCAGATGCAGTGCCTGGGCATGAGCCACCTTTAGGTCACTGCTGTGTCCTCAGTGGGCCATCAGTCTTCAGTCCTGTCAGTGTCAGTGTCGGGGACAGGGAGTTTGCTGAGTGCCCAGGGGTGGGAAGGGTGGGGAAGGTGCTGCAGGGGCTGAGGTGCCCCAGGCACCCGGCCGGGATCCACTGTGCTCGCAGCCTCTCTGCCATAGCTGTTACAGGGCCAGGGCAGGAGGCTCTGAGGGTGGGGACAAGGCAGCTATTGGAGTACAGGGGCTTGGGGGTCACTGAAGGAGATCCCAGAGTAGGGAAGGGCTGGAAGACTGGCAAGACCTGAAGACTCCCCCTGCCATCCCCCACTCTCCGACTCCACACTTAGAAACCTGGGACCGAGCTTTTCTTGGGGTACCTGTCTTGGCCCAAGGATGCAGGGTGGTAGAGAACATCCCTAGTTCCTTAGATGGGGCAGATCGAGGGGCTTTTGGTCTGAGTGGGGCAGACACCAGGTGACTCTCATGAGCCCATGGGGGAGAGGGTACACCACCAAAAACAGAGGGAAGGTGACTGGGGTAGGGGTCTGGACCAGGTGGGCATGAGCCTCCCCTGAAAGGCCTAGGGAAAGGTCCTCGGTCAAGAACCACCTGCCCCAGGGGGCAGCAGGAGGGATGCCTGGTGCTGCACAGCCCTCCTCCAGCGTGTCCCAGCCTTTTCACCAAACAGTCCAGGCGATAGCTGAACACCCGCTGAGTCTCCTACCTCTGGTGTTCCGACGCCACCCACGGCCAGTACGCTGGGGCTGGGTCACTAAGACGGAGCCATGCACACTTACACTCCACCTCTGCCACTGAAGCGACCTGACCTTTTGATTTTGCGCTGAGTTTGCGCATCCACAAAAGAGGGGTTTTAAGAGTTCATGCCTGCCCTGTAAGATTGTTGGAAGGGTTAGACGAGGGGGTACACAGGAAACGCAGCAAGCACTTAGCACAAATGAAATGCTCAATCCATTGCAGCTGCCTTCAT